GTTTCTACATTTTTTTGTTGTTTTGCTTGGTTTTGTTTTTTTGAATGTCCAGAGGACCAGATTTAAAAGAAAATACAGTTTAAAATTCGAGAAAAACAAAATTTCTTATCTAAAGAATCTGAGAAAATAAAAATAGCTGAGTTCAATCATTTAGAATCACTTTCCATTGAAAACAATTATAAAGACATTTTTTTCATCTGGCTGAAGCTCCTAGACCTCAGTTTGTGATTCAGTTTGATCACTAAAGAACAGAGTGGGAGTGGTCCCACAAAGTCTCCTGCTATAATGTTCAGGCTCTTGGGGTCTGATCCAGGTGTCTGCTGCTCCACCCACTTCCTCAAACACTCCCAGTTGCTGTAGGTCAGCATCCGCAAGGATTCCTTTGGGTTTTTGGTTATGTAGCTCCTTTCAGCTGTGAGATTCAGACCAGCAATGAAGAATCCCTCTGTGGACACAAAGTAGCATCTAAATACGCTCATCATTTTCAGTTTTACATGAATAAATAATATTAACTTTGTTGGGACGCAGTGGTGTAGTCTACGCCATTGGTTCCCAACCTGGGGGGCCCAACCCCCATGGGGGGGGGGGGGGGCACGGGTGTGTGTGTGTGTGTGTGTGTGCGTGTCACATATGTCTGCTTAGAGGTTGTAAAAATGTCAATTTATTGTCTGTGTAACAATTTTAGCAAATATGTTTTTATTTTTAATTATAATGTTTGAAATTTCACCAAATCCTGATTAACACTGAAGAACCCTCATTTTGGTTATGTTTGAAGAGTTTCCTATAATGTATTATGCTAAAAACTAAAATCTGTACTGTCACTTTTAGAGCGCTTTGTTAAGACGTCAGTACTCAGCATCCAGCTCTCAGTTGGCAGCACGTCTGCCTGAGAGGAGGCAGGGAGTTATCGTTGCTCTTGGTTAAGTTCACGATTTATTAACTATATAACATAAACGTAAGCACATGCAGGTGTGAATGTTTAAATGTGTAAATCACACAGAGGAGTCATTTTTCTGACAACATAAGAACATTTCTCCCTACTTTAGAACAGACATTGTTATTACTATTGGTGATGGTGAAAGTCAGGAATACTTTCAGGAACAAGCAGTTGACATCAGAAAGCCTTTGAAAGAGCAGGTAGTGATGTGCACAGAGCTACAGAAGCATCTTTTGAGTGTTCTCTTTTAATCACTAAGGCTGAAAAGCTGCACAATATTGGAGTACAACTTCTGAAACCCGCCTGCCTGAAAATTGTGGAGTTGATGTGCAACAGGGCTCATGCAGTGGATGAAATGAAAACTGTCCCGCTCTCTAACACTGTCAGAGTCAGAGATCTTTATTGTAATTTATTATTTATTGTCATTTCTTTATTGTCATATTATGGGGCGGTTGTGGCTGAGTGATTAGAGCAGTCCTCCTCCAATGCGAGTTGGGGGTTCAAATCCACCAGCAGTCACATGCCTAAGTGTCCCTGGGCAAGACACTGAACCCCTAGTTGTCTCTGATGTGTGTCCCATCAGTGTATGAATGTGATAAAGCTCTGATTAGTCTCTTTAGAATGAGTTGTTCAATTAGCTTTGTAGAGATCTAGTATAGAGCTGTATGAATGGGTAAATAAGGACAATGATTGTAGTGTAAAGCGATTTGAGTATCTTGATCAGATAGAAAGGCGCTATAAGTACAGTCCATTTACCATATTGTCAAGGACAGAATATAGACAAAATGGCTGAAAATTGCAAAAATCAGCTGCATGATAGAATCAGGAAGATATCTTGACAAAACTACAATTTTTATTTTTAAGACGGTTTTTAAGATTACTCTGTTGTTAGTTTTTTTTCAAGTTATGTGAGTAATTCTCAGAACAGTGTTCTTCTAGATTTTTCTTATCTTATTTTTATCTTATTTCTATTGTACAACTACCAGTTTATACCTTTTACAAATAAGTTTGTAACTATTTACTTAATTATTTTATCAATTTGATGAAGAGATTAATCTGATTGTGACAAGGGTTTGAGTATTGTATTTGTGCACAACACAAAAAACACCAGGAATATTTAAAATTATTTATTAGTAAAATGCCACTGGTGGAGGTCTGGTTCCGGGCCCGGGTCCAATCTGTAGAGATACGTGGGTTAGTGACTTTAACCAGACTGTGAAGGCTCAGGTAATTGTGATAACAATAAGCAGAGTCACTAACCTTCACAGTCGATAGCAAGGTGTACTCTTTAGTTTGGTTTGGAAGGATGATGTCCAGGGCCGAGACTTGGCAGCAGCAGAGTGTAAGCACACTGAGTGCAGCTTTGGGGAAAATCCAGAGAGAGATGTTTGTGGGACAGGCTTGGGTCGAGAACCGTGGGTCAGAAATCAGAATCCAAAACCAGAGGAAGATCCAGGAGGCGTAGTCAAGACAAACAAACAGGGCCGGTACTGTGGTCAGATTTCAAAGTCCAAAACAGGCAAGGACAAGGCAAGGCGAAGAAACCAGAAGACAGGTGTGGGATCAGGATTTGAGAAACAGGCAAGGCTTGAACATGAATGCTGGACATTTACTCACACAAGGCTTCCAATAATCTGGCACTGAGGACTATGAACAGGGAGTTTAAATAGGGGACTGAGCAGGTGACATGCATGAGCCTGATTGCAGGGAGAGTGAGTGTAGTGAGAAAGTGGCAGGAGCAGAGCATGGCTAAGCAAAATATGGAAGAATAAACAGAAACATGAAAACAAGGGATCTTTGGTATGAAGGGGGAACAAAACATGGCAGCTGGGCACACAAACGTGACAGATTGAGTCTTTTACGGGAGGGGAGTAGCGAGGGATTGGGGGGTCTCAGATTGGCTAGGAAGCAAGAAGGGGGGTCTTTGAGGAAAATAGGTTGGGAACCTCCTCCTTGAATGTCCACCTTATCGTGGTGGAGGCGTGTGTGCGCCTGAATGATTCTAGGAGCTATGCTGTCGAGGGCACTTATAATTGTCCCTGGTAGTGTCTCCCAAGGCCGATTGGTCCAAAGTGACAGGCCAGACAAAGAGCGATTCGGAAGATTTTTATGGACATGACAGCAAGGAACTCGGTGTCCCTTGCCCGGACGTGGGTTACTGGGGCCCCACTCTGGAGCCAGGCCTGGGGGAGGGGCTCATCGGCAAGCACCTGGTGACCGAGTCTCTACCCATGGGGCCCGGTTGGGCTCAGACAAAAAGGAGCAGCATGGGTTCGTCTTCCTGTGGACCCACCACCTGTAGGAAGGGCCATAAAAGTCGGGTGCTGTCAAGATAGGGTTTTGGATTCAGAATAAGCCAGACACAGGAGTGCAAAAACAAGAACAGTTTTTATTTATTATAGGCTGTGGGTGCGAAGTCAGGATCAGCTGAGTTGACAGTCTTCACAGGCAGACAGTCTTCACGGGCAGATGGAGAGTGAGAGTCACCTGTCTAGTCTGCAGCGATGACGTCACTGGTCCTGTGCAGAGCAGCTGTAGAAAAAAGCTGCAATAACGTGGTTTGAGGGGCAAATCCAATAATGTGGTCTGGTTGTCAGAGCAGGGATCATGAACAGGAAGGCAGAGGTCTAGATTCAAAATCCAAAAACATAATCTGTGAAGCATGGTCTTAGTAGAGGAAACGGGGTGCGTTACCATGGCCAGAGAGGCAGACAAATCCAAGAGGGGCAGGCAAGGCTAGGAGTCCAAAAACAGGTGAGGATACAAGGCAAGGCAAGACAAGGGCAGGCCACAAGAAACTATGAATGGCTTTACTATCAGTGACCAAAAGTGGTGTAATAATTTGGCAAAGGACAAGTGAAAGTGGAACTCTTTAAATAGGGCCAAGATCCGTTGCAGTGAATCAGGCTGATGAGCTGATGAGCTGAAAGTGCAGAGGGGGGTGTGACTAATGACTGAGAAGAAAAAGAGCATGATGACAAAGAGGAGCAGAAACATGACATGATGGGGCTGTGAGTGTGAGACAGAGGCTGATGGGGGGGTCAGCGGGGGCTGCTGGCCATGACATACCCCCCCCCCCCCTTTAAGGTCTAGCATCCTGACGGACCACCAGGGAAAGAAAAAAAAGCTAGAATCGGACGGATAGAGGGGGTCCGGAGGCGGACAAGAAAATAAGTGGGTGGAGAGGGTCTTGGAGGAGGGCAAGAAACAGATTTGCAACCAGAAGGGCTGTCCAGAGCTGTTCCAGGGCTCCGGTAGGTGGCCATGAGGTCATCCAGCAAGTGGCAATGTCAAGGGTGAAAGGCTGGGCAACCCTTCAATACCTTGCGATTGGGTCAGATCTGTGGTAGTCGTGGAGCCCTGGAATACTGCAGCTGGTGACGTGGCAGGCTGTGGAGCTGCAGCAGGCGATGACTTGGGGTCCGGTGGAGCTGCAGCGGGTGACGTGGGGACCAGTGGAGCTGCAGTGGGTGACATGGGATCCAGTGGAGCTGCAGTAGGTGATGTGGTGTCCAGTGGATCTGCAGCAGGTGATGTGGGGTCCTATGGCTCTGCAGCGGGTGACGTGGGCTCCTGTAGCTCTGCGGCAGGCGACATGGAGGCCTGGGGCTCTGTTACAGATGACATGGATGCCTGGGGCTCTGCAGCAGATGAAGTGGAGGCCTGGGGCTCTGAAGCAGATGACATGGAGGCCTGGGGCTCTGCAGCAGATGACGTGGAGGACTGGGGCTCTGTAGCAGATGACGTGGAGGCCTGGGGCTCTGCTGCAGACGACGTGGAGGCCTGAGGCACTGCTACAGATGATGTGGAGGCCTGGGGCACTGCTGCAGATGACGTGGAGGCCTGGGGCTCTGCTGCAGTCATGGAGGCCTGTGGAGCTGCTGCAGTCATGGTGGTCTTGGGTTCTGCAGCAGGTTTGAAAGTCATGGGTTTTGCAGCTGAGACTGGACCTGATGCAGGCAAGTAGCTATGAAAAGTCACTGGGGTGGGTAGGCAAAACCTGGCACAGAGCATGGTTTTCAATAGTTGCATCTGATTGTCCAGATTAGTCAAGGAGTCCTTGAGCCCAGAGAGCCACTCCTGTTCTGGCTTTGAATCCATTTTGGCCAAATTATTCTGTCAAGATTGGGTTTTGGACTCATACTAAGCCAGATACAGGAGTGCAAAAACAAGAACAGTTTTTATTTATTATAGGCTGTGGGTGCAAAGTCAGAATCAGCAGAGCTGACAGTCTTCACAGGCAGACAGTCTTCACAGGCAGATGGAGAGTGAGAGTCACCTGTCAAGTTTGCAGTGATGATGTCACTGGGCCTGTGCAGAGCAGCTGCAGTAAAAAGCTGCAATAATGTGGTTTGAGGGGCAAATCCAATAACCGGGTCTGGTTGTCAGAGCAGGGGTCATGAACAGGAAGGCAGAGGTCCATATTCAAAATCCAAAAACGTAATTCGTGAAGCGTGGTATTAGTAGAGGTAACAGGGTGTGTCACCATGGCCAGAGAGGCAGACAAA